CCACGCGGGGGACGGCGCAGCCTGGGCCCTGGAGGCCACGCTGGCAGGCAGGGGCGCGCGCACGCGAGAACGGCCTCTCCCTACTGTAGGGAGGAGGGGAGGAGGAGGAGGAGGAGGAGGGAGGAGGAGGAAGGAGGAGGAGGAGGAGGAGGAGGAGGAGGAGGAGAAGGGTCCCTGGCTTGGCGCCACGCGCCCAGAACTAACGCTTGGCCGCGAGCGGTTCGCGAGTCACGCTGGCAGCGGCGCCGCCTCGGGCGGCTGGCGACATATACCGCGCGCCAGCACGCCAACGTCTGTCACGCGGTCGGAAAAAAACGCACTGTATGCAGAGGTCGCGGCCGTAGCGTCCGTCGCGCGCCCAGGCCCAGCGAGGCAAGAGAGTCGCTGGACGGCGCTGGATGCAGAGGTCGCGGACGTAGCGTCCGTCGCGGACGTACCGGATGTGGAGGTCGCGGACGTGGCGTCCGCAGGGGTCGCGGCCGTAGCGTCCGTCGCGCGCCCAGGCCCGGGGAGGCAAGAGAGTCGCCGGAAGGCGCCCCCCCATCGCAGTGGAGGTCGCGTGCCCGCGCCACTGGATGATGGACTTGGAATCAGTAGGAAAGTCGCGTCGCCAAGCCAGGGAATGGGGGCGGCCGCTGGTGCTGGAACCGATTCCCCTCGCGCTCTCAATCGCGTCGTCAGAATAAGTGAAGTGGGTGGCTTGACTTCGCGTTGGATATGTAAGTGGTGGTCGAGCTCATGTCCTCGAACAGCTCCTTGGTGCAATCGGCTACGGATCCATCTCGAAGGTTGCATGTGAATTGCGCGTCGTGCGCAACCGTCAGCATGAAGATGAAAAGCATGTGCGGAACTGCAGCCATGAATGGCTTTGTTCAAATACAAAGTAGGAAAATGGTGCGGACATCCAGAAGTAAGAAAGGTCGGTGGTGGTAATGCTGGAGAATGCACAATACTTCCCCCACACACCGCAGCGGATGGTGCGCAATACGCGGAAGCATCCTGCACCGGCAACTAGGGCACAGGTGCCTTGAGCGAACGCGGCGGCGGTCATAAGGCAAGCGTCAACGTTCCCTTCGGAGCCTCCCCTCACAATCGGCGAGCCCTTAGCCTTCCCCCAATCTCATGCGATGGTCCTCCTCCTCCTCCTCCACCCAGGGACCCTCGCCCCGTCTCGCGGTGGCAGTGTGTCTGCGTCGGGGTCGATCACAGGGGGCAGCCCGGGGTGGAGCGCGCCTGGATCGTCATGTAACTGTTGGAAAGATCCCACACACACACACACACGGTCTGTAAAGTCCTCCGCCTGTCGGTGAGGCCTTCGTCATGAGGGCTTCTTCTTCCTCCTCCTCCTCCTCCTCCTCCTCCTCCTCC